TTTTTTGCATTCGCTTGCAAAAATTATTTGTATCATTCCCCCGTAATTTCCGGGTCATACAAACTGCAACAATGCAATTTCATTGTTGCAGCCAAAAATGCATTAAAAAAATGCATTATTTGAGAGGCCTCTTGGATGATTTCAAAACTTGTTAAATAAGTGTCAGAACTAGCCCAGATCGGGTGCTCGGGGGTTTTCGAGGTCGCTGATTACGATTGTGATATCTAAATTGACCCACAGCCGACCTGGAGCTCAGGAAAGTCGACGAACGTCATCTTCGTGGGACTCTCCCAAAATTCACGCGGGGAAGGAGGGCAACTAGGCGATCGGTTTTTTTTTGGGTCTCAAAATCCAAATATGGCATCGGCGAATACCCCCCGGACACCTGATGCGCCCAAACCTCGACCTGGACGTCATCTCCGAGAATTTTCTTCACAATATCGAGAAGAACAACCCGAAAATGATTGAACGGAGTTTTTTGGGGCGCTGAATCTATATTTCACGTTGCAAACAACCCCCTGAACACCTGGTGCACCGGAACTTGGCCCTGAACGTCATTCCCGAGGGGTTTTCAGACACAATTGAAAAAGACGAACCAAAAATTATTCCAGGGAGTTTTTTGGAGCGCTGAATCCGAATTTCACGTGAAAAACGACCCCCCGAACACTTGGTGCGCCCTAACTTGGCCCTGAACGTCTTCACCGAGGTTCTTCCAGACCCAATTGAAAAAGACGAACCGAAAATCGTTTAAAGGGGGGTTTTGGATCGCTGAATTCAAATATGGCATCGGCGAACACCGCATGGACACCTGGTGCGTCTGAACCTAGACCTGGACGTCATCTCCGAGGCGTCAATACTGCAATAGCTGTGCGCAATTGTTGATTCTAGATTACGTGAGGAGGAAAGAAAGAGAATGAATAGGAACGCAATATTTATGTAATTTACGGCAAAACAATTTTTATTGGCCTCAAATCGAATACAATGAACCTGTAAGTTTGTCATTCCTTAATTAATTAATAACTCAAATGTGTCTGGTCATTTTCTTCATCATCGACTGATGTATTCATACGGGGAACATCTCCCTCATCAGAGGTCTCTGTCTCTGGCACATTAACGTTTTCATCTGAATATCTTTCAGCGTTAAGGCAAGTTGAACCTTCACAAATTTTACAGGCAAGATTGCAAGGTAGGCCGTGCTTCCTGCAACTACAGGTGTTCAGATTACAATCTCCTTTGCATCCACAGAATATTAGTTCCATAAAATTCTTATGTGCAGGTTTTTCTTCCATCTGTACAGGCACTAGTGTGTCGCCTTCCTTTCTCCACCCCCATTTTGTTGGGTCCATGGTCAGCTGGTCTCCGTGCAGCCATTGTTGTACTTGAAAATAGACCCTCTTTAGATGTTGTTGAATGGCGTCTACTGTAGGGAGAATTTTGGCCAAATTTACTCTCCCCGTCGCAGCGGTTCTCCTGTACATTTCGCACCTGTACGTTTGGAGTAACTGGTTCCAATTCTTTGTTATTATTTTTGAAAATATATTTTTTTATGGGTGTAAAACGGGTTTATATTTAGTAATAGCAGCGCGCTAAGCGCTTACGGTTCAACTACCAACAAGAAAACAAGTCCCGCCATTTATTCAACCTTCTCTTTTTATTTTTCTATGTGTATTTCGTAACGGTTTTCTACTGCCGCCAGCTGCACGTTCTACGCGTTGGTGGGTGGGGCCTGAACTTAGGAGAAAGTATCTATGTATACCTAGACAAAAGCGTTTTGAGTGTTGGAAGAAAAGTGAAAGGCCGCTCGGCAAAGTTCGGAGTTGTAGCCGGAGATTAATCTCGTCATTCTTACAGGAATGGATAAACTTTTTCTAGGACCCTAGGGGAGAGTTACACATGAATGAATGTATAAAATTATGTTTTGGGGAGTTTTTTGTGATCGCGACTGTAAAACCCTCGGAGATTCTAATTCAGCGCCCCTTCACGATTTTCGGTTCGTCTTTTTCGATTGTGTCAGGAAAATTCTTGGAGATGACGTCCAGGTCCAGATTCGGACGCACCAGGTGTCCGTGGGGTGTTCGCCGATGCCATATTTAAATTCAGCGACCCAAAAACCCCCCTTTAACGATTTTCGGTTCGTCTTTTTCAATTGGGTCTAGAAAACCTCGGTGAAGAAGTTCAGGGCCAGGTTAGGGCACACCAGGTGTTCGAGGGGTCGTTTTCCACGTGAAATTCGGATTCAGCGCCCAAAAAAACCCCCGGAACGATTTTCGGTTCGTCTTTTTCAATTGTGTCTCAAAACCCCTCGGAGATGACGTTCAGGGCCAAGTTCCGGTGCACCAGGTGTTCAGGGGGTCGTTTTCGACGTGAAATTTAGATTTAGATTCAGCGCCCCAAAAAAATCCGCTCAATCATTTTCGGGTTGTTCTTGTCGATATTGTGAGGAAAATTCTCGGAGATGAAGTCCAGGTCGAGGTTTGGGCGCACCAGGTGTCCGGGGGGTATTCGCCGATGCCATATTTGGATTTAGCGACCCAAAAAAACCCCGATCGCCTAGTTGCCCTCCTTCCCCGCGTGAATTTTGGGAGAGTCCCACGAAGTTGACGTTCGTCGACGACCAATACATCTAAATATTTTTGAAAATTCTAAATTGTACAAACAAGGCAATAAAAAAATGTCATTAAAATAAAAGATTTCAGGGTAACACGATTGATAATTAACATACGAGGTGTGACAAATAAGTAATGAGACCGATTTTATTGCCGCGCTTGAGGTAAACTTGCGACCTTGAAACTCCCTTTCGCCTTCTCCGACATCTTTTCCCTTTCCCTTGATATTTTTACCATCTCTCTAGTTTGTTTAGTTCGCCGGCTGTGTCGTGTTTAGTAGACGGGTGTTGGTGGTGCTCGTCACGAAAATGGAGAAAAATTTAGAGCAACGCGTCGCGATTAAATTTTGCGCCAGATTGGGTGAAACTGCTTCGGAAACGTACACTAAAATCGTAAAAGTGTATGGTGATAGTGCTCTCAGTTGTGCCCAGGTGTTTCGATGGCATAAATCGTTGATGACCAGGCGCGGAGCGGGAGACCAGTCGAGGTGCGGACTGACCTTTTTTAATAGCCGTGGAATTTTCCATAAAGAATTTGTTTTATCGGGACAAACCATAAATCAAGTCTACTACCGTGAAGTAGGTACTCGAAAGATTGCGAAAACAAGTCAACAGGATGCGCCCAGACATCCGCAAACTACTGGATCCTTCATCACGACAACGCGACGTGCCACACCGCCCTCAGCGGGTCCCAATATTTGGCTTCTAAAGGAATCACTGTGTTTCCACAGCCGCCTTATTCACATGATATATCATCCTGTGACTTTTTTCTGTTCCCTAGAGCAAAATTGATGTCAAAGGAACCCATTTTGAGTCGCGTTCCAGAAATGTTGGAAAGGGTGGAAAACGCGCTGGAAACGTTGTATAGCTGCCCATGGGGACTACTTTGAAGGAGATGGCAGAGTTGTAGAATAATTTATAAATATGCAGATTTTATGAAATCAGTCTCATTACTTAATTGTCACACCTCGTATATAACATAGATAAATAACATATATAACACAATGTACATACCATTTCTTAGGTAAAATTTCTCATTGAGTATATTAAATTAACTAGTTGGTCCATTTTTCCGATTCAGAATTTTAAAGTGAAAAACCATTTTACCTTTTTATCTTTATCATACGTTTATTGTACATTTCCATTTTCATAATGTCAAGTAAATACCTTATCAGAATAATTAAATTTTTCCTTGTGGTGGGTTTTGTGGGAAACAAAAAATTTACAAATTTTTTGCTTACTTCTTACTTCAAAGTATTTACAGTTGGTTACAAAATAGACCATTTTGAAGTGGTCTTAAAATTAGAATTAGACACTGAAACAAAATATAAAACAAATTAGATTTGTAATACTTTATTATAGTTAAATAAAACAACAACTTTAAAAATAATTTTATTTACCTTGCCTTAAAGAAGTTTTTCGGGAACAATCGTTGAATTGACACACATACTTTCAATTTATTAATGTCACGGTTCTTAATAAACATTTTTCTAAACGAGCACAAATAATCAAACAATAAATAAACAATTAAAGTTTCATAGTAGAGGTTGGTAGAGGAATAACGGAATGACAGTTTGTTTGATTTGGTACAGTGTTGTCAGAATATGTTTTTGTTATGTACCAAATTTGTCTAAAAAATGTACTAGATTCCTTAAATGTATCAGATTTTTCTAATTCTATTTGCAGTGACATCTAATTCATTAAAGTTGAAAAAATGGGGCCTTTGTTAATAATCGAACCTAAACAAGGAACACAATATATATATTTTACACGTGAACATTGATGCACGCAGAATATACTACATCTAGTACAATTGTGAATTGTACTAGACTGGCAACACTGGTTTGGCAACCTTGTTTGTGAGCTGCGCGCCAATTAATGTGTTCTTTGACAGTTTGAAGAATCTGTTGGCGTGTTGTGTTTTCTTTTTTAGCTATATGTATTCGCCAAATCGTCTCACTCGTGTTGGGCTCACTCATCATAATGCACCACAGACACGGTTTACTTAGGTATATTGTGCCACAGAAACGCAATCAGCCAGAGAGCAATGATGTACCAAGAAATATAGATTAACACGTATGAAAATAAAAATATTAAAATTAAATTTATATTTTTATGTTATTTATGTAATTTTAAAATAATGTGTTTTTATGAAAATAAACTGAGTGTTCACTGCACAAATGAACCAATGGAGAAACCGCCCCTGCACATAGTACATTTATACATTTTTCAGTAATTTTAGAGCCCTAAAAATAACAAAATTCAGTATTATGCTTCAATCTACAGGGTAAACATAATTCACTGTCTTCTCCCAATCTAAAAACTTATTTAATTGTATACTATATAAATTAATAGATAAATAAATAAATACACATTACCTAAATGTTTTTTTTAGATTAATGAGAATTGTGGGCGAAAGAAAAGCCTTAGAAATGGTGTTGACGTCAAAAATCTACTCAGCTAAAGAATGCTTAGACCTGGGACTGGCTTACAAAATAGTAAACTCAAGCATTAAATTAGCCGAAACTTTAAATTTTGTTAGAGCTCTCACAGTTCATGATTATTCCATAATACAGTCTAATAAAAACGTCACAAATTTTGTGTCTGAAAATAGTTTTGAGAAATCGTTGGATATTGAAAGAGAACAGTTTTATCCTAAATGGGGATCCAAATTAAATAAGGAGGCATTAGATAAAAGAATAAAACATGTACAAAACAAGAATTGAATAAAATTTTATTTACTAAAATTGTACTTTTCTCCCGTATTTAAATCTGTAACTACTTATACCGGGTGACCCAAAATTGTTGGGAGATAGAGCTACCACGTATTGTAGAGGTCAAAATAAGTCGATTTGACCATGGTGGAAGAATACAGGTGAAGCGGTAAGCGGTACGAAATTTGGTCATTCTTGCGCATGACGTCACCTTCGGAGCATATTTTTGTTTTGCCTATGTCTCCAATGTTAAAAAGCGACTTTTAAAGTTATTCTAATATTTTCCTGGTAGTGTTTAGAAGTTTATAGATATATTTATCTTAATATTTAATATCATTTCTATATATCAATAGGCCTGTTTAGAAATTATTGGTACGTATTATTAAATTAATTTCTAATTAAGTTGGTAGTGTAATTGATATAAAGTTAGGTTATGTAACATTTTTGTTGTATTTTAAAGATAAAAAAAATAGTTTCTATTCAATATTGTTATTTTAATATATCATTATTATTATTATTATTATTATTATTATTATTATTATTATATTATTGGTAATTTCTTAAATTCTAATATCAAGACAAAATATAATATAAAAACAAAAATGTACAACCTAAGTACAAATATGACAATCGAGAAATATATATATATATATATATATATATATATATATATATATATATATATATATATATATATATATACAGGAGTATACACATAAATTAAAATGAACTACTTAATTCAAGGAATCATAGAAAAATTTATCCACTTTGTAGTATACCTTTTTGAGCAAGAGTTTCTTGCTTTTTAAACACATTTAATGAGTCAACACTTCCTATTATTAATTAATTGGCAAGAGGTTAAACATTTTTCCACTATACACAATACAAGGGACACTGCATATTTCAGTTTCACATTTAAATTTGTTATTTGTATATGCCTTTTATTAGTTCCAGTTTTTATCGGTACTGAGCCACTAAAACTTTTTAATGGTAATGTCTCTGTAAGTTTAGGTACGTTTTGGCTATCATCTTGATCTCAATCTATCAGATAGCAATGCTAGGTATGAAGATTTAAATCCTAGATGTAACATCCTCTTCAAAGTTTTGTGATGGAAAAATTCAGTTTCAGGTGAACACTATCTTTTTTACGCCAAAGAGAAACTATATTGGGCTAAATTCCTTACACCATGGCTAAATTCGAAATAAATTACCTACTTTTTTTGTATAAAAGCACAAAATATATTTTTTTTTTTTTGGCATTACTTTTGCACAAGCGTCTATCTGCCTATAGTGACTTTTCTTGTATTATTGAGCATAACTTGATGTTATTTGACGCAGTTGTTATTTTCTTCTAAATAAATTTTCAGTTTTATAATGATTATAGAACTAGGAAATAAAAATTAAACTTCTTGAGAATCATTACAGAATGTAAACAAAGCCATGGAATGGCATGGCAGTGTATAGGCGGCCGTGGCAATACCGATGTTGACGTCATAAAACCTGCGCACCGCTTCACCTGTATCCTTACACCATGAATTAATTGAAAATTGAAATAAATATGGCTGTTGACTTTGTTGATGTTATAGGTTATCAGAAATATAAATATATTATATATTTTTGTTTGAAAATCGACTTTTTGAGAATAACTTTAATCTTTTTGAAATGGATATTGAATATTTAAGAAAATTGTTAATAGAATATTCAGATGCAGGTTAGTATAAAATATAAAAATACGATCTGTTTACATTTCAATGATAGGTACATTTGTTGTAGGTATAAACTTAAGTAGAAGTTAATAAGTGGCTTGGACCCCTTTACCACACAGTACTCTTTACTCTGGATTACACAGTGACTGGAATTCCTCCCATGAGTAATATGAATATGTGGCTTATTTAGTGTTAACTTATAGTTAATACACTAAAGGGCAAATACCCAGAGAGCATAGAACATAATTGGGCGATTATGTGATGTTTTTATGTCAACAGAGAAACATTTATTTGTCATTTGGCCCTAATATTAGACGTTTATATTGAATATTTTGTTACATTTGTTTGTTACATACATGTAATGTGTATATCGAAGTAAACGTGCTACTTCTAAGAAATCCTTCAATTTAAGTGTTTAAGAAATAAATAAATAAATAAATAATGTTCAAGAATTAAGTGAGTTGTGTTTTAATAAAAAGAGTTTATAGGTAGGTACTTCGGTTTTTATAAAATACATAAGATTATATTTCCTGCTAAAACATCTTTTTAAAAAATTCATTAAGGTATGGTTCTGGTAAATAGAGTATAGTAATGACTCTGATAAGTAGAATATAGTGATTGTTTAGAATAATACACCTATACCTATGTATATCATCTAGAACTTGTGAATGTAAAAACTCTTAAAACATTTCAACATTGGTTGTGGTTTTAAAAAACTGTGTGTAAGGCTTTTATTTTAAATTTTTGTTTGGTCAGTTATAAGGAGGTTACTTTAACATTAAAAGTACATCACATGGGAGGTTCAATGTTTTATGGGGTAGTAGCTGTTACATTCATAGATCGTTTTGTGCTCGCTGGGTGAAGATATTCAAAAGCTTATAGACCCAGGATTTGATTTTACGAGTATATTTTTTAATTTAAAGTATTTTATTTATACCTTCCTATGTATTGTGACAATTTTGTGAATGGTTTTTTCTAATAAATAAAAATTACTTGAATATTCACTTAGTTTATTCATTTAGGTAAATTCCTCAATTTTTAAAACTAACAAATTTGTTTTTTTGTTTAACTAGAACACCAAAAAGCAATGTTGACCAATTTATAATATGTACTACAGTGCATAGTTTTGTAGTTTTTTTTTTGAAAATGTGAATTAAAAAAACAACATGAATAGTAGTTATCTTTATTTTACAAATTTGCTATAATATTTTAATTAATAATAAGTTTGCAAAACACAAACAGAACAAATACATAAGTAGTGTCTATACAACATATTAAGTAAAAAGCCAAAGTTCATCTTGACATTTACATAGAAACATAAAGAAAAAACACCAGGTACTCAATATATTAATCAACATCAGAAGATCCGGATTCAAAAGATTCCAGTGTTTGCAGTTATTATTAAGGGCTCTATCATGTCATCCATTATTCCATCCAATGTATTCCTTTTATCTTCTTCCTTAATCACATGTTGTACACATTTATGCCAATTTGTAGGCGTTACATTTCCAATAGCTTGTAATAAAAGGCCTTTCACATCTGCTAACTTAAAAGTTGTATTTTTAGCTGCCACCTCATTCTTTATTTGTGCCCATATCAATTCTATCGGATTTAACTCGCAGTGGTATGGGGGCAATCGCAAAACAACTTTATTGGCTTCTTTTGCCATTTCATAGACAACATACAAATTATGTGCATCTTTATGTTGCCGAATTAGGTGTAAAAGTTGACACCTCTTCATATTTAAATCAAATTTAATATTTTTCATATGTAACCACTCCTGCCAGCTTTTCTTGATGACGAGGAGGGAATTTTCTCAACTTTTCGGCTATGATATGATGCATTGTCCATCACAATTACAGCATCATCAGGTATTTTTGTCAAAAAAGTAAAAAACCAATTCTCAAATACTTTTGAATTCATTTCTTCATGGTAATCTCCTGTCTTTTTGCCTTCGAAGACCAATAATGCATCTTTTACAAAACCTTCTTCAGAACCAGCATGTGAAATAATAAGGCGTCGTCCCTTTCCTGTCGGGCTTTTCAGGCCCGTGGTTAAACCTTCAATAAATGCTTGACGTCTACTGGTTACATTTTGGTCCACCCATGTTTTTTCCTTACTATGACCTTCATTAGTCCAAGTTTCATCTAAGTAAAAGATTGGCCTGTTTTCTCTTCTATATTGTTTGATTGATTGTAAATATGATAACCTCCATCTACAGATATCATCACGTTCTATTAATACACTTTGACGATTCCTTTTCAAATATCTAAAAAATATATATAATAAATAAACATTTCATGTCGCTTTTCAAAGTTACAAACTTACCTTAAGTTAATAAGTTTCAAGAAAGTATATAAAGATGACCGAGATATTTGTGGCAAATCTATACGTTTCTTCAATGCTTGTGAAATTTTATTTAATGTAGGTAATTCATTTTTTAAAAAGAAATCATGTACCAATCTTCTAACAGCATTTTTGAACCCCTCATCAAATTGTTTTTAGAAGTCCGTGTCTTCCACCAATATTTTTTGGACTAGATATGGTTCCACTTTTACGGTATTCATTTTATACCCGGTAAACTGTTGACTTTACAACTCATGTAAAAAAATGTTGGGTATTTAATACCATTTTTAATTTGAAAGTAATGAGTAGGTATAACTTACCGGCGGCTTGAGAAATTTTGGATACAACATCCACAATTTTGGTTTTTGGTTTATTGTCCAATACCTGTTTGTACATATTTATTATGTGCTGTTTTTCTGCGAGACTTAAATGGCCTAAACTCAAACGTTTTCGCTATTTTGGTGGACTACGCAAGGAACTGCTACCTCTACTAGTACTCGGTGTAGAATTATCCATAATCGCAGAAATTCAATACAATTGCTTACCGAAGTTCTGAAAAGAACTGTTTTTTAAAGAAATAGAGTGGAAAAGTAAGTAATAATGATAAGAGATCAAACAAAAACCAAAAGCAATAACAATAACAGAACTAAAAATATAAATAAAATGTCAGAAGTGTCAATAATGTCAGTTATTAGCTGATGTTAATGCAAAAGTGATGTGTGAAACTGGCTGCAATCTGACCAATCAGAAGTCTCCAGAATTGCCAACTTAAATTCAAATCGCTCCTCCTGGTTTTTAAACAGAGTATACTTAATTCAAGGAATCCTAGAAAAATTTATCCACTTTGTAGTATACCTTTTTGAGCAAGAGTGTCTTGCTTTTTAAACATATTTAATGAGTCAGAACTTCCTATTATTAATTAATTGGCAAGAGGTTAAACATTTTTCCACTATACACAATACAAGGGACACTGCATATTTC